AGAAGTACTGTTACTGGCGTCTGATATGACCTAGAAGTACTGTTACTGGCGTCTGATCTGACCTAGAAGTACTGTTACTGGCGTCTGATATGACCTAGAAGTACTGTTACTGGCGTCTGATATGACCTAGAAGTACTGTTACTGGCGTCTGATCTGACCTAGAAGTACTGTTACTGGCGTCTGATCTGACCTAGAAGTACTGTTACTGGCGTCTGATCTGACCTAGAAGTACTGTTACTGGCGTCTGATCTGACCTAGAAGTACTGTTACTGGCGTCTGATCTGACCTAGAAGTACTGTTACTGGCGTCTGATCTGACCTAGAAGTACTGTTACTGGCGTCTGATCTCACTTTCGAGTACTGATACTTACGTCTATTCAGCGGGCATTGGTACTTCTAGACTAAATGTAGTGATATTTTAATGGTAGTAAACAATGAATACTAATTGTTTGCCATGTCTGGGTGTAAATATTTTGCCAGTTCTAGAGACGAAGGATAATGTACATAATATTATTGTACTGTACTGAATTCGGAAAATTTGCAGTCTTTATTTTGCCAGGTCTAGACAAATGGTACTAGTATTGTTCTATATGTAGTGTACGGCAGCATTATGCCCGATATAGAAGAAGAATACTAGTTTTTCTTGTAAGACCTTGACGAACAAAGTTAGTCACATAAAACTCTGTCCTCTCCTCAACATCGTCTTCTCTTCTAGCGCATGGCGACCATGAACTTGAGAAGTTACCAGATGCTTTTTCATCGTCAATCGATCAGTGCAGTTACTGACCTTATGTATTACAGTATTGACATACAGTGAAGACTATAAATAAACCTTGGCTGCGAAACCCTCACGTAATTGTAGCTGCATTTAATGGTGCAGAATCAGGAAAAACGGACGCTGCCGTATATCGTAAGAACTCACTCAAAGTCAGGCACAAAGGGCCTAAACAGACTGCACTCTGAAGGTGATTATGGCTTAAACAGTGAAGTAAATATTTTATAGCGATTATTTTATTACCCGTTCGTTAGGTCATCTCTATACCTTTTCCTCCACTGTTGTCGACAGCCACTAAGAGTATAATTTCCCCGAAAGGGGGCCAAAAACATCACTATACATTAGTGTTGTCAGTCAGTCAGTAGACACTAAAATGACGTCACATAAGAGACGCTTGACATTGCAATTTGTACCGTCATGACGTCAGTAAAACGTGGGCATATCACGAGAACAATTATGCACTCTTATAGGCTACAACACAACATGACACGTGAACTTCACAAGCAAGAAATAAAAATATTTGTTACCCTTAATTGTGGTTTTATTTACTCTTGAAACAGAACAATCTAGGGGACCCAGCGCAAGTACATCTAGTTTATCTAGATATCTCAAACAGAAACTCCTAATTCCACATGAATTAATACAGACAATAATGTAATATTGAGTACAATTTCAAGACTAGCCAAATGGCAAGAGTTAAGAAATGTCCAGTTGACTTGTTCCGTGCAGGAACAAGCAATATTCTAATTCAGCTAGTGCTGCTCTCTACCTGGTACTTTCTGTACTGTATCCTCAACCAGACATGACGTTTCAGCTTTATTTCTTACTGTTCTAATCGTTTTATGTTGTTTGTGGGTCGTTTTGATCTCACCATATTATATAGATAATATTTTGACCTGCCCTACCAGTTGAGGGTTAAACAAAGATATTTATATGTGCTTGCATAGGTACCCTCGCCAAGAGCGGCATTTATTTCCATAGCTTCACGAGGACGGCGTGCACATCCGACATTCGCTGGCGCTATGGCAACAAAGGAAATTGAAACGGCTGTAGAACTCGTTAGAATGTGAGAAATTTATAAATAATATGGTCTTAGAATCTCTCTGGGGCACATCCGAAAGTTTCATGGTATTCAGAGGTGGTGAACTTGGAAAGTTTTTATTACATACAGTCATCGAAACATACACACAATTAAGCCGCTGTATAGCAGAGATCAGCGTTTTTCAATCTTTGATACCAAGGACCGTCTCACTGCTTTCCTAAACTGTAGCAGACTACTAAAATTCAAGTACAACGAAAAACTATTACGAGTTACGTATGTGAATTTTGATAAAAAAAAAAAAAGTTAGCACAAAGGATCACGTATAAAATGTAATAGACTTAAAATAAGACCCAAAACTCGAGCGCTTTCGAATAGTTGGCTATTCTTCTCCGGGAGAACAAAGGAGTTTCGTATATGAATATTCGGAATATCAGTTTGTTTTTGTGAAATTCAACGAACCAGAGGATGAGAAACACTGATTCAGATGTTCCCGATATTGTTTGTTTGTTTTTGAATTTCGCGCAAAGCTACACGAGGGCTATCTGCGCTAGCCGTCCCTAATTTAGCAGTGTAAGACTAGAGGGAAG